AGTGCCTGGAGTGCTCTGGTCCATGGGGTCACAAAGAGTCGGACACGACTAAACAACTAAACAACAACAATTGGGGGATATAGGAAGCACATATTTTCTAGATGTCCCTTTTACAATGAGGCATGTAGAGAAACCATTGGCCCCCTGCTGGTGAGGCTTGCTGACCTCACGGTAAAGCAAAAATTCGGTCTTCTCCTGTTAGGCAAAGACCACAAGACGACTTGGATTGTACCCAGATTATGCGCACAGATCTGTAGGCGCTGACCACCCCCCAATTCAATCTAGTTTGTTAAGAAAAATCCCAAACTCGGATCCACGGGTGACTCTGGGTCATTTCTCTAAGGTAGTCTATCTTAAAGTTTTTATGTGTTTACTGTGGTGCCTCGCAAGACGAAATTAATCCGTTCCGCGAGAGTCTTCGTCTAGCAGTTTTTTCGTCTTGCGAAGCAAGCCCATTGACGGATTAGCGCTATTAGCGCTATTAGCGGTTTAGCGGCTATTAAAGGCTTAAAGGGTTTGGGTATTAGCTGCTAAAAGGCTATTAATGGTTATTAAAGGCTTTGCATATTAGATAACGGGGGAAAGCGAAAAAAATCTCAAGACTCGCAAGGTATTTTCGTCTTGCGAAGCAAGCCCATAGGGGAATTCGTCCTGCGAAGCAACTTCAAAACGGAAAACCCTTTCGTCTAGCGGTTTTTCCGTCTTGCGAGGCATTCGTCTTGCGGGGCACCACTGTATATGCCTATCGCATTTTAAAACTTAAAATCCATTGTTTTAAGTGTTTGTTTTGCTATTGGGATTGTAGATCCATTTGTGTTTCACAAGCTGGTCTCTGACCGTAATAAATTTCATGTTCATGTTCAATAAAGTGTGGAATTGTGGGGATGGGGCATTTTGTTCTAGTTCTAGAAGCAATAAATCTGTTAACAAGGCAGATAGGAGCACAATAGCAGCTCCCTCTTAGAAATCAAAGAGACTTCCCATAGAAACCATTTGCTAGTATCCTTGGGGTTCTGGGATGAGAAACAGAACCATTACATGAATCACTGGCCATAGAGTTTATTTGCATTTACTTACCTTTGTAGTAAGGGGAAGGGAATTTTCTTGTTTTTGTTATTATGGTTGGTATCCTCATCTTAAAAAAAAAAAATTGCAAAAAAGGAAGACAGCCTGCACTTGAGATACTTTCTCAGTGCAATTAGTTCTATTTATCCCTCCACCGCCATCCTTGCCTGTGGTTGTCATCACAAAGGACCCAAAGGGCCTGCTAATGTGTTCAAATGGCTTTGGCACGTCATTCAAGAGAGGAGTTAAGCTCGGAGATTAATGACTCTAAACAACGAGGACTGCATTGAGTCGCCTAATAAATTTGTCTTGGCAAAATCTCAACCATGTGCACATTGATTTTTACCTTGCTGTAGGCTCCCTAGTCAGAACTTTGGACATCTAATACCTTATTGATTCATCTTTAGGCTGGCTTCCATCAATTACAGTCCCATATTAATAACGCTTAAATTGCAATGCACAGGGTTTGTTTATGAAATGAATGCCAGTGTTGGAAATGGAGGTGGAAGGGAAGGTTTTTTTGAACCCTTTCCAGAGTGTGGATCAGGGCTGGAGAACCTCCACATGTTGCTGGACATCAGAGAATAAGAAGAATCTGCAGGATCAGGCCAAAGGCCCATCTACTCCACTGTCCTGTTCTCACAGTGGCCGCTCAGATGCCTGCAGAAGGCCTAAACACCAGATTCAAGAATAAGAGCCCTTTCTCCTCCTGTGGCTTCCAGCTGTGGAGGCAGAACGTAGCCATCAGGGGTAGGACCCATTGATTGCAGGGTTGTAGCATTGATTGCAGGGGTGTCCTAGCTACTTCTACTTGTCCTAGCTACTTCTCCTAGCTGGTGCCATCCAATGTGCAGACCCAGATCCCACCATCTGCCACCAGGATTCACCCCCTTTCATGATTTCATTGATATCTCCAAACAAAGATTGTCCAGCAAGGCAACTGAGGTCGAATATTTTCACAGGGGTTTTGAGACACAGGCTGTGAGACTTCTTAAATTCCCCAGAGAGCTGCCATCAATCTCTTTGCATGTTTGAAACAAGGTCAGAGAAGCAGACAACATGTAGCATGGAAAATGCAATTTGTTTGGCAGCGATGCAATCACACTCACACAGAACGCCAAGTTCCCTGCGAGAGTCCCCGAGTGCCAAATACTTTTACACATGATTTATTTTGGAGACAGAAGGGTGTTGTTGTTTTTTAAGCGCTTATTAAAAAATAAAGGGAAAGAAATATTCATGGCCTTCAGAACTGTACCAAGGCGCAGATTCAGTGAAGTGCTTTGAGGACTCTGTGCCCTGATGCTGGATGTTTGATAAACCCCTTTTGTGCTGTGTTCAAATGTGTGAATCATGCCATCACGGCAAAGGGAGCAGAGGAAAGGAACAAAAATAGGATCCATTTAAGAGGCAGAACAAACTGCTATTTCCCAAATGGAAAGGGAAGGGGAAATATGACTCAAAGCGCCTGTTTTCTGTGATGCCTTCCCTTCCTGATCTCAGATTTTAGGCATTTTATTAAATGTCCACAAACACTCTGACTTCTCGAGGGGAAGCAGTTCCAGGAAATGAAAGGTGGAAGAACAGTCTCTCATCAGAGTCTAGAGACAGGTAGAGTTGGGTGTCAGGAAGGTGGAACAAGACATGGTTTCTTGGCAGGCATTTAGGTCAGACTGCATTTCCATCTAGCTCACTGCTGCCTAGTCTGACTGGAGTAACAAATGTAAATTTTATATTCATATATTGGCTAGTTTCCACCCACACCCACCCACTCCTCTCCAACCAGGCATGCAAGAAGAATTATTAGCACTCAAGGGCAAATTCCAGCCAGGCAAAATCCCTTGTGGGGTGATGCAGAGCCAGTGAAGTGTGTGGTCTGGAGACACTCCTGAGGGCCATAAAAAGAAACCTGGAAGGCCGCATTTGGCCCCCGGGCCTGAGATTCCTCTCACCTGGTATTTAAGTGCACTTGGCTCTAGGCCTCATTCCTACTAGCTCTAACATGTGTTTCAAACTCCTGCCAGGGAGGCCAGGAGCTGTCCAGCAGGTCAGTGCTGAAGATGCTCAGGAGAACAGCTGATTGGCGCAGGGACTGGCTGGACACTGAGCAGTGCTGGCCGGATACTGATAAGAGGGCACTGGGAGAAGTGGGTTTGGACGCTGACTTTAAATAAGGGATCAGGGAGCTGGGAGGACCTGTAGCAGCCGGGAGACGAGAGTCAGAGAGAGGAGATTGCAGGATTGGAGAATGAAGAACAGGTGCAGAAGCGAGAGATAGGTCAGGCTGGTGTTGAGTCAAGGGCTTCTACACTTCCTCTTCCTGTCCCCACCTCTCCTCCTTCACTGTCTCCCAGGACTAGAAGAGGGCTGAAGAGGGAGAAGCAGAAGGTTACACGCGGGCCAAGTCTTTGCCTGCTTGCATGCAGCTTGGGATGGGGAGATACAGAAGCTGGGACAGGGACAGAGCCTCTCTGTTCTGGCAACTGCCTTATTGGGTGCACACCTAGAAGTAGCTGGGAGGACTCCTTCAAGCAACAAATAGTTAAAACTGCACATAGCTACTGTTCCAGTTTACCAGCACACGACGTAGGGATGGCCACCAACTTGGATGGCTTTCAAACAGGATCAAACAAACGCATAGGACACAGTGTGGCGTGGCAGATAGAACGTCGGACAGGGAGACCTGGGTTCAAGTCCCCACTCAGCCATGGAGCTCGCTGGGCAACCTGGGGCCAGTCACTGCCTCTCAGTATAGCCTACCTCACAGGGTCGTTGTGAGATAAAAATGAGGAGGGAAGAACCATCTCCACTGCCTTGACCTTGTAGGAAATGTAATGTAATGTAATGCAAATTCATGGAGGATATTCATGGATATCAATGACTACTAGCCTTGATGGCTATGTTGCATGTCCACTGTCAGAGGCATACAGCCCTGAACGTTGGCTGCTAGCAATCACAATTAGGGAGAGTTGCTATTTCACTCAAGCTTCCCAGAAGAGGCATCTCACTGACCACTTTTCAGGAAAGGATAATGAACTAGCTAGACCTTTGGCCTGTTCTAGCAGGGCTTTCGTATGCATTAGAGTTGAGTCTGTTTCTGGTTACAATTTACAATGATTATTGTTTTCCAGAAATCCCTATAAACTTATTTCCCCCGATCCCCTGAGCACATCATCTGACACCCTGTCTTGCACCCCATTGCCATCAGAAATGTGGTTTGCTAGTATGCAAGGCAAGGCCTTTTCCGTTGTGGTACCCAGGTTGTAGAACTTCCTGTCCAGAAGGTTCACCTGGCTCCCTCATTTGTGCCATCAAGGGAGCGTGCTTGTTTTCTCCTGCTCTGGAGGGTAGGACTCGAACCCATGGCTTCAAGTTACAAGAGAGGAGATTCTGACTAAACATCAGGAAAAACTTTCTGACAGTAAGAGCTGTTTGGCAGTGGAACGGTCTCCTTCAGGAGGTGGTGGACTTTCCTTCCTTGGATGTTTTTAAGCAGAGGTTGGGTGGCCATCTGTCATGGATGTTTTAGTTGAGATTCCTGCATTTGCAGGGGGTTGGACTAGATGATCCTTGGGGTCCCTTCCAACTCTAAGATTCTATGATTCTAAGTGTTTGATTTGACTTGCTCATCTGCTCCGTTGGTTAGAGTGTGGTGCTGATGACACCAAGGTTGCAGGTGCAATCCCAAAATGGGACAGCTGTGTGTTCCTGCATCCTCAGGGTACCTCTCAACTCTACAATTCTATGATTCTATTACCTGTTGTACAATTGTGTTTTTAATCCAGCCCTTTAAACAAAGCATTGTATTGAAATGTATCTTTTAGCTACCTGTGAGCTGCCTTGGGGAGGCAGTTTCTGGGGTGACTGGCAGGGTATGAACATTTTACCAATAAATAAAAATAACCACCCAAGCTCATCCACACAGAGACCTCCAACCTCTCATTTTCATGCTGTTTATTTAATTAGGATTTCTCCCCCTGTTATTGTCCACCAGGGGGCAGACACAGACTAAGGACACACAAAAAGGACATTTCTACAAGTTCAAGATCTCTTTTCCTTCCCCTTTCTGACAATATATATATTTTATAGGCATTCTAACAAAGCAAAATCGAAAAGCAACGAAAGCACAGCAGGAGGGCCCTTACAGAGAAGACATAAGCAGCATCCAAATGAAAGTGTAACACTGCTGCAAAGTTCTTCGGAGACACGTGTTGCAAAGTTTGCAGGAGTCGCCGTCGACAGCCATGATGAATACGAAAGGGGCCTTGGTGAGGCTCCAGGAGGCACGGCTGATATTTCAAGCAGCCCTGCATTCCAGCATCTTCCTGAAACTCTTCTGAAAGCTGTCGTCTAGGAAGGCGTACAAGAAGGGGTTCAGGCAAGAGTTGGCATAGCTGAGGCTGGTGATGAAGTAGGAGGCGCCAATGACCACAGGGGTCTGGGGCAAGTCAGTGGTCAAGGCCACGATGGTGGCCAGGTGAAACGGTGTCCAGCAAAAGAGACACACGGCCATAACGATGAAGACCATGATGGTGACTTTCTTCTTGGCTTTGTCCAGCGCTTTGGCGTTTGAGTTCAAGCGCATGTTCCTCAGTTTGTACAGCATCATGGAGTACAGGATGCAGATTGTGGAGACGGGGATGGCGAAGGCCAAGATGAGCGTGTAGATCCTACTGGCTTTGAACCAAAATTGTTCGGGCCGGGGGAAGTTGAGGCCGCAGCTCTTGATGCCCAGACCGTCTTCGTAGACATTGGCGAAGATGAAGAAGGGGGACACGATAAGGGTGACTAGGAACCAGATGCCGAAGCTGATGATACGGGCTGCCCGGTAGGTGCGATGGGGCATCCGTTTGGAGCTGACGGTAGCTAGGACCACCAGGTACCTGTCTATGCTCATGACGGTGAGGAAATAGATGCTGGAGAAGATGTTGTAGTGGTCTATGGAGAGGATGACCTTGCAGAGGACCTCCCCGAAAGGCCAGTAGTGCAAGAGATGCTCAGCGATGTTGATGGGCAGGACCAGAGTGAACAGGTCGTCGGCGATGGCTAAGTTGAGGATGAACATGTTGGTCACCGTCTTCATCTTAGGGGCTTTGAGGATCACGTAGATGACAGCCGTGTTGCCCGTCAGACCCACAGCGCAGATCACGGAGTAGATGACAGGGAGGACGACATAGAAGTCCGGGGACTGTTCGTGGGAAGTGAGGTTGTAGCTTGTAATATTGCCTGTGCCACAGGGGTCACCTGTTCCATTGCAGGTGGCGTTCAGGTCTCCATCCTCCCCAGGGTCTGCCATACCTCCTTGCTCTGTTTCCCAATTGCTCGTCAAGTTATATTGTAGGTAAGTGGGGACCGGAAGCATATCCCAGGGTGATCTGGCTGCTTTCAGAAGGTCTAGCTGAGGGCTATGTGCAGATTGTGCTAAATGTCTTAGATCGCATCCCAAAGCGCAAATGCTTGTCGAGGGCAGGACCAAATCGAAGCTAGGAAAGTGAAAGGAAAGTGATCTTCCGTGTCAAGAGCAGCATCCCTTTGAGCTGTGCCTCTTCTGTATTAGTCACGATCATCCGGCTATTTAAAACCGAGCTGCTCTTGCTCTAAATGAAAACTGCCATCCGATTAACTCCTTGAGCAAGCTTTGTCCATGTAATCATCCACCGGCCCCTTTTCTGCATCAGGGATGGAAATGAAAGTAGCTTTTAACTTAGCTACTTGCCATTAGGACACGGCAAGGCTGCTCCCCACAGATCCGCTCAGAGGCAATGAAGAGAGCGGTACCCCATCCATTACAGCTGTGATTTCATTCGCTCCTGGGGATGCAGCAGACACTTCCTAATGCCCTGCAGAAAAGGGATGGGGACATTAAAGAATAATGAGACAAGCGTATATAAACCTCTTAAAAGCCCAAAGGCAGCTACCCCCCCATGCCACCAAGTCCTGCCCCAGTCTAAGTTGCATGCACCCTCATGTTGAGTGGCGGCTTCAAAATGCAGGTATCCCAAAACGATCTTGAACATGCCCAAACTCACATGCCTGTGCAGCATCAGAAAGCAAACTCCCAAAATGAAAAAGAGCATCAAAGCATAAGAGAAAAATGGTATTTTAAAAGAGATGTTACTAGCCTTACCTTTGTGTAGATTTCATGTTACTCTTCACTCCAAGTCCAGCTTCCAGCAAGTGGCTTCAATGTGGAAGAAACAGGTGCTGAACAACATCCCCAAAGATCATCTTACTGGCACCCCAGCTTTGTAGAGAGCAGAGAAATAAATAGAGCTCCACTAGATTTTAAGCTGTTGAGTTTGCTGTGATCCTCCCCTCTCTCCTTTCCTTTCAGGCACTGCAGAGATCAGACAACGTCCAGGTTAGGCTCCTACTTCATCAGCTGAAACTCTCCTCTAGCTCTGAGTGCTCCTCTCACCCAGTCGAGTCAGGATTTCTCACGTTTAACTCTTAGCATCTGCTACCCAGCTGCTTCTCACTGTTCAGACTCTCCCGTCTCAATCGGAGGCAAAGGAGGATCCCATAGTGGGCTGACATGCTATATTCCCACTGCACGTGTGTGTGTGTGTGTGTGTGTGTGTGCACGTAACTAAACCAAATAAATTACTCTGGGTAAATGCAATGGTTATTTATCTCTCTTTTAGTCTGCCTAAGTAAAGATCACCCGAACGGGACTACAAAATGCCTACAAAATGCTCTGGTCCCTTCTTTTTTTCTTTTTTTCTTAAAAAAAAGGGGGATAAGGAGAAATTGTGCGTGGTTAATTTTTGAAACAAGGATAACTGGAGTTTACATACCTCCAAAAGCTTCATTCCCTGACAGCTGTGCCCAATTCCCGTGCCCCTTCTTAAAGTTGTGCAGAGCTGCAGATAATTGGAGACAAAAGGCATGTAGAACAACACAGGCAGTTTTGTTTCCTATCACAGGAAACATGATTTTTTCCACAAAGCATTACCTGCTCCCTGCTCCCATTTCTGTCATGGAACATAGGAAGTCAGCTTGTACCGAATTAGACCACCAGCCCACCTAGTTCATCACTGGCAGAAGCTCTCTGGGGATTCAGGCAGCCTTGCCTGAAGATGTCAGGCGTTGAACGTGAGGTCCACCTGCAGCTCAGATGCTCTGCCTCTGAGCTACGTCTCTTTCCATCGTATGTTGAGCAGATCTAGTACTCTGTGCCTGGAGACAGAATTGCACACCCTGCAAGTACCCCAGTAAAACCAGGACATCCTTTTTTTCCCCCTCATGAGAGGACGGTGGCCATTTTGGACGCCATGATCTATCGCGATTCCGCACTGCGATTCCCCCCGGAAAAAGTGCTTTTCGGGGCCGTGACCTTGTGTGGCACTCCAAAACACATCTAGAGGCATGGATAGTTTTCAAAACCACATGCCCTACGCATTTCATTTTGGATATTCTATTCTTCCAAATATTTTCCAAGCTCATTTCATTGTATTCTCTCTATTTCCTAGATTCATTCAATGTCTGTCAGGAGACCTACCATCTCCACACAGTTTTTAAGATATTCTTTAAAAATACAGTAGCACCTCGGCTTACGTTACCCTTTGGGTTGCAAAAGCGGCAAACCTGGAAGTGTTTTGCCACACGTGCATGTGCAGAAGGGCTCTACCATGCCACGCACATGTGCAGAAGCGGCCCCTCTGGTTGTGGAAACCTCAGGATCCGACCAGAGCTCTGGAACAGATCCCATCTGCAACTGGAGGTACCACTGTAGTCCATTGCGTACAGATTAATTACATGTAAACTAACACAATGAGAATGGCTGGAAGTCAATTCACTGAGGGTGTGTTTACACTGGGTAGGTATATAGGTAATGTATGTTTTGTAAATATGTATTGTATGTACAGTGGTACCTCGAGTTAAGAACGTAATTCGTTCTGGAG